CCCCTGGTTGGTGGTTTCTAGTTCCCCCTCCTTGGTGGTTTCTAGTTCCCCCTCCTTGGTGGTTTCTAGTTCTCCCCCCTTGGTGGTTTCTAGTTCCCCCTCCTTGGTGGTTTCTAGTTCTCCTCCAGTTTGGTGGTTTCTAGTTCTCTCCCCCTCGGTGGTTTCTAGTTTTCTCACCTTGGTGGTTTCTCCCCTGTTTAGTGGTTTCTAGTTCTCCCCCAGTTTGGTGGTTTCTAGTTCCCCCCTCCTTGGTGGTTTTTCTCCCCCTTGGTGGTTTCTAGTTCCCCCACCTTGGTGGTTCTACTTCCCCCCCAGTTTGGTGGTTTCTAGTTCTCCCTCTTTGGTGGTTTCTAGTTCTCCCCCCCTTTTTGGTGGTTTCTAGTTCTCCCCTGTTTGGTGGTTTCTAGTTCTCTCCCCAGTTTGGTGGTTTGTAGTTCTCCCCTCTTTGGTGGTTTCTAGTGTCCCCCCCTCCTCTCCTGGTGGTTTCAGGTTCCCCCCCATCAGGGCCCGGGGCTGGGCTGGGGTTGTGGGGTGGGGAGGTGGCAGTGGATTTTCAGGTTGGGCCGGGTTGTTGGAGGCCGGAGCCTTGTCCTGTTGGCCTGTGTGTCTCTGTGTCTGTCTTTCTGTCTGTCTTCCGTCTCCTCTCGGTCTGTCTGTCTGTCTGTCTGTCCATCTGTCCATCTGTCAGTCTGCCTGTGTCCCTGTCTATCTGTTTGTCTCTGGGTCTGTCTGTCCATCTGTCCATCTGTCTGTCAGTCAGTCAGTCTGTCTGTGTCGGTCTGTCTCTCTCTGGGTTTGTCTGTCTGTCCATCTCCTCTTGGTCTGTCTATGTCTGTCTGCCTGCCTCTCGGTCTGTCTCCTCTCTGTCCATCTGTCTTCCTTTTTGTCTGTCTGTCCGTCTGCATCTCAGTCTGTCTGTCTGTGTCTCTGTCCATCTGCTTCTGTCGGTCTGTCCATCTCCTTTCAGTCTGTCTGTCTGTCTGTCTCCTCACAGTCTGTCTGTCTTCCTCTTGGTCTGTCTGTCCACCTAGATGTCCATCTGCTTCTCCTGTCTGTCTGTCCATCCGGTCTTGGTCATCCGTCCATCCCTTGTTTGTCTGTCTGTCCCTCAGTCTCTGCATCTGTCTGTCTCTGTCTGTCTGCAGGTCAGTCTGTGTCTGGGCCCCTGTCTGTCCATGTGTGTGTGTCCATGTTTCTGTCTGTCCATCTCCTCTCTGTCTGTCTCATTGTCTGTCTATCTGTCCATCTGTCTCTGGCTCTGTCTGTCTGTCTATCTGTCCATGTGTCATCCTCTTGGTCTGTCTGTCTGTCTGTCCATCTGCCTCTCAGTCTCTCTGTCTGGGTCTGTCTGTCCTGTGTCTGTCTGTCTGTCTCCTCTCTGTCCATCTGTCTTCCTCTCTGTCTGTCTGCCTCTTGGTCTGTCTGTCCACCTGGCTGTCCATCTGCTTCTTCTGTCTGTCCATCTGTCTGTCCTGTCTTGATCATCTGTCCATCCCTTGCCTGTCTGTCTGTCCGTGTGTCATCCTCTCGGTCTGTCTGTTCGTTTCTGTGTCTATCTGTCTCCCCATCCATACGTCTGTCCCCAACAACTGTCCTCTTTCCCCCTCAGGCCAGGCCGACTTTGACCTCGCCGACGCCCTGGATGACCCCGGTGAGTCCTGACCTCTCACCTTTCCCCCCCCATGGCTTCACCCTGGCCGCTAGGCCTCACATGGGGCCTTGATCCAGCTGTGGGCCTGAATCCCATGTGACCCTTTGCCACCCCCTGAGGCCTTGGGATCAGGGGTTGGGGGGGTCAGGGGAGGTCAGGGGTCACCACCCTCTCTCTCTTCGCCCACAGATCCCACCCCGAAGCCCATCTCGGATGAGTGGGGTCCTCCCACACACACACCAGGCCCACCCAGGGTGGGGAAACTGAGGCACGGCCCACTCCTGGCACATAGGGCTGTACCCGCAGCTGCCTGACCCGCCCAGGCCGTGACCTCCGGGTTGGGAAGGAGGTGAGCGGGGTCAGGGGGGGTCAGGGGGAGCCAGGGGTCAGGGGAAGGAGGGGGGTAAGGGGAGGGGAGAGGCCGGCCTCCATCCTCCCTCGCTCTCTTCCCGCAGACATCTACCTCCCGACGCCAGCCTCCACCCCAGCCCCAACCCCCGCCAGGCACAGGAGGTGAGGACATGGAAGGGGGGAGGCCCGGATGTGGAGGCTGGGGATGGAGAGGCCTGGATGTAGAGGCCCGGATGTAGGGAACCCAGTGTGGAGGCCCGGATTTATGGACCGGGATGTGGAGACCCCAGTGTGGAGATCTGGATGTAGAGACCCAGATGTGGAGACCCCAGTGTGGAGACCTGGATGTAGAGACCCGGATGTGGAGACCCCAGTGTGGATTCCTGGATGTAGAGACCCGGATGTAGGGACCCAGACATGGGATCACAGATGTAGGGACCTGGATGTGGGTACCCTGATGTAGGGACCCGGATGTGAGGACCCGGATGTGGAGGCTGAGCTCCCAGGGCTGCGTCTCTCCTCCCCCTCCACCCCAGGTGCTGGTGACGAACACGTGATCCACGGATACCCTCCAGGGTAAGTCCCGCCCCCTCAGCCGCCCCACTTCCGGTCCCCTCCTGATCTGGGCCCAGGCGTGTATTGGGACTTCCGGTCTGCATGAGAACTTCCGCTCCTGACAGTATGTGAACTTCTGGTCCAGAGTATCGGAACTTCCGGTCCTGATTGGGAACTTCCGGTCCCTAGTATATAACAACTTCCGGTCCCGACTGGGGACTTCCAGTCCCTAGTGTATAGGAACTTCCAGTCCTGACTATGGGGACTTCCGGTCCCTAGTGTGTAAGAACTTCCGGTCTTCACTGTGGAGACTTCCAGTCCCTAGTATATAACTTCTGGTCTTGACTATGGGGACTTCCGGTCCAAGTGTACAGGAACTTCTGGTCCTGATTGGAAGGACACTTCCGGTCCCTAGTGTATAGGAACTTCCCATCCTGATTGGAAGGGCACTTCCAGTCCCTAGTGTAGAGGAACTTCCCGTATCTAGTGTATAAGAACTTCTGGTATTGACTATGGGGACTTCCGGTTTTGACTGTGGAGATTTCCAGTCCCTAGTATATAGGAACTTCTGGTCCTGACTGGGGACTTCCGGTCCCTAGTATATAGAAACTTCCGGTCCTGATGGGAAGGGCATTTCCAGTCCCTAGTGTGTAGGAACTTCTGGTCTTGACTGTGGAGACTTCCAGTCCCTAGTATATAACAACTTCTGGTCTTGACTATGGGGACTTCCGGTCCCTAGTATACAAGAACTTCTGGTCTTGACTAGGGGCACTTCCTGTCCCTGTTCATGGACACTTATGTCACGCCATCTAATTGCAAGGGGCGTGGCCTGAAGTTGACAGGACACTTGATAATACAAGGGGGCGTGGCCTGAAGATGACAGATAGGACACATGATTATACAACAAGGGGGCGTGGTCTGAAGGTGACAGACAGGACAAATGTCCACACAACAGCCAGGGGGCGGGACCTGGAGGAGACAGACAGCCCCTGTGGCCTTTCAACAGCCATTGGGCGGGGCCTGGAGGTGACAGAGAGCCTCTATGGCCTTCCAACAGCCAGAGGGCGGGACCTGGAAGAGACAGACAGCCCCTGTGGCCTTCCAACAGCCAGGAGGCGGGACCTGGAAGTGAAGGACAGCCCCTGAGCCCATACATTCACTAGTGGGCGGGACTTCTGGGTGATGGGCACCCACAGCATTCATAGAGCTAGCCACGAAGAGGCGTGGCTTCACACATATCGACTCTCCAGCTATTGGCTTGGCAGGGGGCGGGACCCAGGGATGATGGACAGCATGCCCTGCCTTTCAATATCACCCAAGGAAGAGGCGGGACCGGACCCCCAGCTTCCCTGGGCAGGGCCAAAGGATGGAGAGACAGGCGTGTCAGCCAATCAGAGCAGGGGCGTGGCTGGAGGAGTCCCCGGGGAAGCCAATGGGTCCCTCCCTCCAGAGAAGACCCGGATGTCGTGCAGGTGCAATGCATCCTAGGCCTAGGGAGACACAGACCTCCAACCTCGACTTATCCTACCGCCATAAGGAGCTATAGGCCCATCTGGGTCAATCCCTGGAGAGGTCATTGGGGTCCCCTGGGACAGGCACAGAAGGGGAAGAGGTCGCAGGCCTGGTCATCCACCCATCCATCCACCCAACCACCGCCCCCCCTTAGAGTGGGCCAACATCCGGGTACCCCACTTCTCCCGCTGGGCCAATCTGAATCCGAGTTCAGGTAGTTAGGGGCAGGACTGTCGTGTGAGGTCCAATCAGCAGCGAGTTGGATTTGTGGGGGGGCTAAAGGGCATGTCTTACAGCTGGACCAATGACAAGTGAATTAGGAAAGTGAGGGCAGGGCTTTCATGGAATAGGCCAATCAGGTGTGAATCTAGGTGGTGGGATGTCCTAGAGGAGGGCAAGACCAAGCCTGTATCCTAGCAACCCACTGGAAATGGTCTGAAATGGAAGGTTGGATTAGTCCAATACCCTAGCAACCACCGGAAATGGCCTGAAATGGAAGGCGGGACTAGTCCAATACCCTAGCAACCACCGGACATGACCTGAAATGGAAGGTGGGACCAGCCCTGTATTACGACCGGAAATGTTCTGAAATGGAAGGCGGGACCAGTCCTATACCCTAGCAATGACCAGAAGTGGCCTGAAATGGAAAGTGGGACTAGTCCTATACCTTAGCAATGACCGGAAATGACCTGAAGTGGAAGGTGGGAGTAGTCCTATACCCTAGCAATGACTGGAAATGACCTGAAATGGAAGGTGAGACTAGTCCTATACCCTAGCAACGACCAGAAGTGGCCTGAAATGGAAGGGGGGACCAGCCCTGTATCCTAGCATCAACAGGAAATGACCTGAAATGGAAGGCAGGACCAGTGCCCGGCTTCTGACCCCGGTGACCCCTGACCCTGCCGTGCGGTGCGGTGCTCACGAGGTTTTATTGTGTGAGAAGTTAGAGGACATAGGCCCGGATGTGAGAGGGCCCTGGATGGGAGGCTGGGAAAAGGCCCCGGATGGGAGGACCAAGGTGGAGGTCCAGGATGAGAGGCTCAGGATGTGAGAGTCCCCGGATGTGGGAATCCCTGGGTCTGAGAATCCCCAGATGTGAGACTCTCTGAATGTGAAAATCCCCGGATGTAAGAGTTCCCCAGATGTGAGAATCCCCGCATGTGAAAGTCTCTGGATGTAAAAGTCCCTGGATGTGACAATCCCCGGATGTAGGAATCTCTAGATGTGGGAATCCCCGGATGTGAGAATCCCCGGCTGTGGGAATCCCCAGATGTGAGAATCCCTGGATGCGAGAATCCCCAGATGTGGGAATCCCCGGGTGTGAGATTTCCCCAGATGTGGGAATTCCCTGGTCTGAGAATCCCCGGATGTGGGAATCCCCGGATATGAGAATCCCCGGATGTGGGAATCTCTGGATGGGAGAATCTCTGGATGTGAGAATTTCCGGATGTGAGACTCCCCGGATGTGAGAATCTCTGGATGTGAGAGTCTGTATGTAGGAATCCCCGGATGTGAGAGTCTCTGGATGTGAGAATCCTCGGATGTAAAAGTCCCCGGATGTAGGATTCCCCAGATGTGTAAATACATCCCCGGGAATCCCCGGATGTGTCACCAGAAGTGAGAATCCCCGGATGTGAGAATCCCCGGATGTAGGAATCCCCGGATGTAGGAATCCCCGGATGTGAGAGTCTGTATGTGGGAATCCCCGGATGTGGGAATTTCTGTATTTGAGTATACCCAGATGTTTAATACCCGGATGTGAGTCCCCGGATGTGAGAGGCGCAGGCCAGGATCTGCCATAGCCCCAGGGAAGTTGGTGGTTGGGGGTCGGGTCGGGGTCAGAGGTCGGGGATCAGGTGGTCGCAGGCACAGAGCGGTCCGGGCGAGCAGCAGGGCTGCAGGCGCGGGCTCCAGGTGTTGTGTGCAGGGGCGAGGGGCGGGGCCGCGAGGGGGCGGCGCATGCGCATCATCCGGGCCACCGCGGCCTCCACGCGCCTGCGCGTCGCCATCGGGCCCTGCAGCGGGCGAGTCTCCCCTGGGTCCGCCGTCAGGTCAAAGAGCAGTGGCCGCCGGTGGCGGGTCATTCGCCGCCCCGAGCAGGCGCAGGCAGGGAAACCGAGGCAGGTGCCCGAGCCCGGCAGGTCGAAGCGTGGAGTGGCGAAGTGCAGCTTCCACACCGTGTGGCCTGCGGGGGGTGGGGGAGTAACATCCAGGGCCTCACATCCGGGGATTCCCATCCGGGAATTCACATCCAGGACATCACATCCAGGGATTCGCATCCGGGCATTCACATGCAAGACCTTACATCCAGGGATTCCCATTCAGGACTTCACATCTGGGTATTCACATCCGGGGATTCCCATCTAGGACCTCACATCCGGGGATTCACATGCAGGACCTCACATCCGGGAATTCACATCCGGAACCTCACATCCAGAACCTTACATCTGGGGCTTCACATCTGGGGATTCACATCTGGGGCTTCACATCCGGGGGGGCCACATCCGGGCATTCACATGTGGGACCTCACATCCGGGGACTCACATCCGGGGATTCTCATCTGGGACCTCACATCCAGGGATTCCCATTTGGGACCTCACATCCGGGGCCTCACATCCGGGGATTCCCATCCGAGGCCTCACATCCGGGATCTCACATCCAGGGCCTCACATCCAGGGATTCTCATCCAGTACCTCACATCCGGGAATTCCCATCGGGGACTTCACATCCGGGGATTCCCATCTCATGACTTCCATCCAGGTCCTCACATCCCGGGATTCCCACATCCGGGTCTCCCACCCCCAGGTCTTGCATCCGGGTCCCTGCGCGCATGCATGCAGCTCCCTCCCCCGCCCCAGGGCCCAACTGAGGTCGAGGCACTCACTTGGGCGGTCGAACCAGCGCACGGCGTGCAGCCGGGCCTCGCAGTAGTGCAGCAGGAAGTCGTGGCCTGCGGCCTGCGCCGTCCCCAGCAGCGCGGGCATCAGGTCCCGGCCGTCCACCTCCCTGCGGGACCCGGATGTGCAGGCTTCTGGGCACTCAGAGACCCGGATGTGCAGGCCAGAGCCCCCAGAAACCCGGATGTGCAGGCCAGAGATCCCAGAGACCTGGATGTCAAGGCTTGAGCCTTTAGAGACCCGGATGTGCAGGCTTCTGAGCCCTCAGAGACCTGGATGTGCAGGCTTCTGAGGCCTTCAAGACCCGGATGTCCAGGCTCCTGAACACTCAGAGACCCGGATGTGCAGTCTTCTGAGCGCTCAGAGGCCCGGATGTGCAGGCCAGAAATCCCAGAGACCCAGATGTCCAGGTTTCTGAGCCCCCAGAGACCCGGATGTGCAGGTCTAAGACCCAGGCCTCTGGTCTTAGAGACCTGGATGTGCAGGCCTGAGGCCTCAGAGACCCAGATATCCAAGCTTCTGAGCGCTCAGAGACCCGGATGTCCATGCTTCTGAGCCCCCAGAGACCCGGATGTGCAGGCCTGAGATCCCAGAGTCCCGGATGTGCAGGCCTGAGCCCTCAGAGACCCAGATGTGCAGGCCTGAGCCCTCAGAGACCCGGATGTCCAGGCCTGAGACCTGGGCCTAGGTACTCAGAGACCTGGATGTGCAGCCCTGATGCCTTAGAGACCCGGATATGAAGGCCTGAGTCCTCAGAGAACCAGATGTCCAGGCTTCTGAGTGCTCAGAGGTCCAGATTTGCAGGCCTGAGCCCTTAGTTACCCGGATGTAAAGGCTTCTGAGCCCCCAGAGACCCGGATGTCAAGGCCTGAGCCCCGGGTCTTGGGTCTTAGAGACCCGGATGTGCAGGCTCCTGAGCCCCCAGAGACCCGGATGTGCAGGTCTGAGCCCTCAAAGACCCAGATGTGCAGGCTTCTGAGCAACCAGAGACCCGGATGTGCAGGCCTCAGCCTCCCCCCCTCGGGATCCCCGAGGCCCCGGATGACCCCCCTTCTCCTCCACCCCGTGGGGACCCAGGCAGGCGAACTCCTACCTGTCCGCCGGAACCCAGCCCCCGGCCAGGAGCACCACGGTGGGGAACAGGTCCATGAGGCTGGTGGGCTCAGGCACCAGGCGCCCTGCGGGCAGTTTCCCGGGCCAGCGCACCAGCCCAGGGACCCGGATGCTGCCCTCCCAGCCGCCCATGCCTTTGCCACCTGCAAGGGGGGGGCGGAGGGCAAAGGTCAAGGGGCGGGGTCGGGCTGTGTGGGAGGCCCCGCCCACCCTGCCTCAGTTTCCCCCTCGCCTCGGTGCACGCCGTTGGAACCCCCGAGGCGGGCGCCCCCAGCCCGGGCCTCCAGTGAGGCACCGTGGTCCGACGTGAAGTAGACGAGGGTGCGGCGCCCCAGCCCCGCACCGTCCAGCGCTGCCAGCAGTCGCCCTGCGGGAGGGGGGGGGGAAAATGGGTCCGTGCCTCAGTTTACCCCCAGCATCCACCGTGCCTCAGTTTACCCAACATGCATCATGACTCAGTTTACAAATTTCCATCGTGCTTCAGTTTATCCTCAATGCCCAGTGACTTAGTTTACCCAACAGGCACCCACCGTGCCTCAGTTTACCCCCAACGCTCACCGGGCCTCAGTTTACCCAAATGCACTGTGCCTCAGTTTACCCCCAACATGCACTGTGCCTCAGTTTACCCAAATGCACTTTGCCTCAGTTTACCCAAGTGCACCGTGCCTCAGTTTACCCTAAACATGCACCGTGCCTCAGTTTACCCCTATATTTGGGCCTCAGTTTACCCAAGTGCACCGTGCCTATTTACCCAAATGCACCGTGCCTCAGTTTACCCCAACCCGCTGACCCCGTCCCCGTGCCTCAGTTTACTCCCATCCCGGTGCCTCAGTTTACTCAACCCACTCACCTCGTCCCCGTGCCTCAGTTTACCCAACATGCACCATGTCTCAGTTTACCCAACATGCCCAGTGACTCAGTTTACCCAACATGCACCATGCCTCAGTTTACCCAAATACACCGTGCCTCAGTTTACCCCAATACCCAGTGACTCAGTTTACCCAACATGCACCGTGCCTCAGTTTACCCCTATACTCGGGCCTCAGTTTACCCACATCCACCGTACCTCAGTTTACCCAAATGCGCCGTGCCTCAGTTCACCCTGAACATGCACCGTGCTTCAGTTTACCCAACATGCACCGTGCCTCAGTTTACCCAAGTGCACCGTGCCTCAGTTTACCCAAACCCCATGCCTCAGTTTATCCCCAACACACTGACCCCGTCCCCGTGCCTCAGTTTACCCAAATGCACCGTGCCTCAGTTTACCCCAACCCATTGACCCCGTTCCCATGCCTCAGTTTCCCCCATCCCGCTCACCCCATCTCTGTGCCTCAGTTTCCCCCAACCCACTCACCCCACCCCTGTGCCTCAGTTTCCCCATCCCGCTCACCCCGTCCCCATGCCTCAGTTTCCCTATCCTGCTCACCCCACCCCCGTGCCTCTGTTTCCCCCATCCCACGCACCATGCCTCAGTTCCTGCCCCCCCGCACTCACCCACCATCCAGTCAAGCTCCTCCACGTTGTCGCCGTAGGCGCCGTGCACGCTGCGGCCCCGGAAGGCAGGTGAGGTGACCAGCGGGACGTGGACGTGGAGGAAGGAGACGAGGAGGAGGAAGGGGCGGGCCTGGTGCCTGCGGATCCACGTCAGACCCCGCCCCCACCATCAATAACCTCACTGATAACCGACCTGATCAGGTATTGCCAATAATCGATCAGATGATCGATAATTGATCCTGATCTGATCAGATATTACCAATAATCGATCCTGATCTGATCGATAATACCAATAATCGATCATGATCTGATCGATAATACCAATAATCAATAGTGATCTGATCAAAAATACCAAAATCGTGATCCGATCAGTTATTACCAATAATCAAACAGATCTGATCAGTTATTACCAATAATCAAACATCTGATCGATATGACCAATAATAGAACATGAGCTGATCAGATATTACTAATAATCGAACAGGATCTGATCAATAATACCAATATTCGATTGTGATGTGATCGGTAATACCAATAATCGAACATCATCTGATCGATAATACCAATAATTGAACATGAGCTGATCAGTTATTACCAATAATCGAACATCATCTGATCAGTTATTACCAATAATCGATCATGATCTGATCAATACTACCAATAATCGATCATGGTCTGATCTGAGGTTTACCAGATGTCTCTACAGATCTACTAGATGGAACATCCAGGGACCTGAGGTCTACCAGATGTCTATAGAGATCTACTGGATGTACATCCAGGGATCTAAGGTCTACCAGTTGACTATAGAGATCTAGTAGATGGAATTGGTCCTCCTCCCCGATCCCAGGCTGACCTGTGGATGAAGGCCTCAGCCTCCCGCAAGAAGAGCCCCGCGCTGGCCTCAAACCTCAGAGGCTGCTGGACGACCTGGTGATCCCTCATCAGGAAGCAGTCAGCATGGACGATGAAGATACCCAGGAGGCGGGAGGTGCAGGCCAGGAGCAAGGCCCCACATCCGGGGCCCAGCACCCAGGGCACCCAGTGCAGGCCCAGCAGGCCCGTGACCTTCCCAGCGGCCAGGCAGAGCAGGGAAAGCAGCAGCAGCTGAGCCCCCAGGTCCAGGGGCCCTTGCAGACGCGCTCGCTTCTCCGAGGGCTCCGCTTGCAGGCAGTCCATCAGGGTGAAGGGGACCCCGAAGAAGGAGTCAAACCCGTGGTTCAGGGGGTGGTGGCAGTGGTCAGTGGGGGACTCACAGTTGAGGCCCAGGTGCCATTTGCCTGGAGGGGAAGAGATGGATGGATGAGTGAATGGATGGGTGGATGGATGGGTGGATGGATGGGTGGGTGGATGGTTGGGTGGGTGGATGGGTGGGTGGATGGATGGATGGATGGATGAATAGGGGAATGGGTGGGTGGATGGATGGATGGATGGATGAATAGGTGGATGGGTGGATGGATGGATAGATGAGTGGATGGATGGATGGATGGGTGGATGGGTGGATGGATGGATGGATGGATGGATGGATGGGTGGATGGATGGATGGATGGATGGGTGGATGGATGGATGGATGGGTGGATGGATGGGGGATGGGTGGATAGATGGATGGGTGGATGGATGACTTCTTTCTTACCTATGAGGCCGGTGGCATATCCCTGCTCCTGCAGGATCTTGGCGAAGGTGATCTCGGAGGTGGGCAGCCCGCCCGACACGGCTGCCCACTGCAGCACGCGCGCCCCGTTGGTGGTCACCAAGCCTTCCAAGAGAGAGGAGAAGGACCCTAGGTCAGTGATGATGGCGTCCCGGGTCAGGAGGGGCTATCTAGCACCTTCAGGGGGAAGGCCTGCTGTGTCTGGGATAGCCTGGGACCTGCGCACCCGGGGTGGAAAGGACCCCAGCCCTGTGAGCCCCCGGGGGAAACCAATATGGCATCACTTCCGGTTTCCTGGCGTTTCAGGGGGAAAGTCCCAGAGTCTCAGGAATTTGAACCTGAGATCCTCAGAGTAGTCCTCCCCTCCCTCTGATGGACCTCAGTGCCCTAGATGTTGAGCCTCAGTTCCCTGGATGTTGGACCTCAGGTCCCCGGATGTTTGATGTTAGTATCCCGGATGTTGGCCCTCAGATCCCCGGATGATGGAGTTCAGTGCCCTGTATGGTGGATATCAGGACCCCAGATGTTGGACTTCAGTTACCCAGATGTTGTAGCTCAGTTCCCTGGATGTTGGATCTTACAACCCCGGATATTGGAGCTCAGATTCGAGTATGTTGGCCCTCAGATCCCCAGATGTTGGAGCTCTGTTCCCTGGATGTTGGGGCTTAGGTTCCCGGATGTTGGATCTTAGTACCCCGGATGGTGGATGTCAGGTCCTAGGATGTTGGAGTTCAGTTCCCAGAATGTTAGGCCTCAGATCCCCGGATGTTGGATCTTAGTACAATGGATGTTAGAGATAAGGTCCCCAGATGTTAGAGTTCAGTGCCCCGGATGTTGGTGCTCAGATCCCCGGATGTTGGATCTTAGTAACTGGATGTCAGAGATGAAGTCCCTGGATGTTAGAGCTCAGTGCCCTGGATGTTGGTGCTCAGTTCCCCGGATGTTAGGCTTTAGATCCCCGATGTTGGGTCTCAGATCCCCAGATGTTGGATATCAGGTCCATGGATGTTGGATCTTAGTACCCCGGATGTTGGCTCTCAGATCCCCGGATGTCCCGCCCCCACCTCCCCCCCACCGCCCCCTCCATTCCCCAAATGTCCCACCCCCCCATACCGACCCAGGCGCACAGGGTAGCGTCCCGTCAGGAAGGCCGCACGGCTCGGGCTGCAGACGGACGCTGCCGCCAGGTGCTGGGTCAGCCGCACGCCGTCCCGGGCCAGGCCGTCCAGGTGCGGGGTGCTGTGGGGGGAGAGGAAAACTGAGTCACAGCCTAGAACATACGGGGACCTGGGGTCTAACATCCGGGGATCTAATGCACAACATCCCAGGAGCTGAACTCCAACATCCAGGGCCCTGAGATCCCACATCCGGGGATCTAAGATCCAACATCTGGGGACCTGAGGTCCAACATCCTGGGATCTAAGGTCCAACATCTGGGGCCCTGAGATCCCACATCCAGGGTACTAAGATCTATATCTGTGGACTGGACTCCTACATCCGGGGATCTAAGGCCCAACATCCGGGGACCTGAGGGCCTACATCCGGACAACTAAGATCCAACCTCTGGGACCTGAGCTCAAACATCTGGGTACCTGGTCTCCAACATCTGGGACACTAAGATCCAACATCCAGGGATCTGATATCCAACATCCGGGGGCCTGATCTCCAACATCTGGGGTACTAACATCTAACATCTGGGAACCTGATTTCCCACATCTGGGTTATACTAAGATTTAACATCCGAGGACCTGATCTCCAACATCCGGGGCACTAACATCCCACATCCAGGGATCTGATATCCAACATCCGGGGACCTGATCTTCAACATTCAGGGAACTGAGATCTAACATCCTGGGAATTGAACTCCAACATCCGGGGACCTAACATCCAACATCCGGGGACCTGAGGTCCACTAGATGTCTATACAGTTCTCCTGGTGGAACATCCGGGGAACTGAGCTCTAACATCTGGGGTACTAACATGTAACATCCGGGGACCTGATATCCAACATCCAGGGCAGTAAGATTCAACATCCGGGGACCTGATCTCCAACATCGGGGACCTGATCTCCAACATCCGGAGCACTAACATCTAACATCCGGGAACCTGATTTCCCACATCCGGGGCATTAAGATCTAACATCCGTGGACCTGTCCTTCAACATCCAGGGCACTAACATCCCACATCCGAGGATCTGATATCCAACATCCGAGGATCTGATATCCAACATCCGGGGTACTAACATCTAACATCGGGGACCTGATATCCAACATCCAGGACACTAAGATCTAACATCCAGGCACCTGGGCTCCTACATCCAGAGGAATAAGATCCAACATCCGGGGCACTGAGCTACAACATCCAGGGTACTAATAGCTAACATCCGGGGACCTGAGCTCCCACATTCGGAGCACTAACCTCCAACATCTGGGGACCTGAGCTCCTACATCTGGGGCACTGAAGTCCAATATCTGGGGACATAATCTCCCACATCCGGGGTACTAAGATTTAACATCCAGGGACCTGATATCCAACATCCAGGGCACTAACATCCAACATCCGGGGACCTAGTCTCCAACATCCGGGGTACTAACATCCAACATCCAGGGAACTGAAGTCCAACATCCGGGAACCTGATTTCCCACATCCGGGGTATTAAGATTTAACATCCGGGGACCTGATATCCAACATCCGGGGCATTAAGATCCAACATCCGGGGACCTGGTCTCCAACATCCGGGGACCTGGTCTTCAAATCCGGGGTACTAACATGTAACATCCGGAGACCTGATATCCAACATCCGTGGCACTAAGATCCAACATCCGGGGATTTGATATCCAACATCCACGATACTAACATCCAACATCCGGGGAACTGAGTTACTAGATGTCTATACAGTTCTCCTGGTGGAACATCCAGGGATCTGAGCTCCCACATCCGGGTAACTAAGGCCCTACATCCGGGCCTCCCCCTCTGCTCACCGCAGGCTGCGGTTCCCGAAGCTGCCCAGGTCGCCCAGGCCCAGGTCGTCGGCCAAGAGCAGCAGGAAGTTGGGGCGCGAGGGGGCGGGGCCTGCACAGGGGCCAGGGGGGAGGAGGAGGAGGAGGAAGGCGAGGGGTGGGGCTGCGCAGCTGCTGTGCGACCTGAGGAGGAGAGAGAGGAGGAGGAGGGGTGGATGGGTGGATGGATGGGTGGATGGATGGATGGATAGGTGGATGGGTGGATGGATGGATGGATGGGTGAATGGATGGGTGGATGGATGGATGGTTGGATGGATAGGTGGATGGGTGGATGGATGGATGGATGGGTGAATGGATGGGTGGATGGATGGATGGTTGGATGGATAGGTGGATGGGTGGATGGATGGATGGATGGATGGGTGAATGGATGGGTGGATGGATGGATGGTTGGATGGATGAGTGGATGGGTGGATGAGTGGATGGATGGATGGGTGGATGGGTAGATGGATGGATGGGGGGATGGGTGGATGGATGGATGGGTGGGTGGATGGATGGATGGGTGGATGGATGGATGGGTGGGTGGGTGTATGGATGGATGGGTGGGTGGATGGATGAATGGATGGATGGGTGGATGGATGGATGGGTGGGTGGATGGATGGATGGATGGATGAATAGGTGGATGGGTGGATGGATGGGTGGATGGATGGGTGGATGAATAGGTGGATGGGTGGATGGATGGATGGATGGGTGGGTGGATGGATGGTTGGGTGGATGGATGGGTGGATGGATGGGTGGATGGATGGATGGGTGGATGGGAGGAGGGATGGGAGGACTCCCCCTCCCTCCAGGCCCTCTCCTGACCAACATGGCGCCCAGGATCGCATCCTTCCCATGATGCTCCCCGTTTCCTGGAAGAGAAGGCCGGAAGCAGGAAGTGGGGAAGAGCTGAGGAACATCCGGCCACCCCAGGGCCAGGCTGCTGTTGCCCCCAACAGTACATCAGCCCCTCACCTTGTCTTTCCAGGCTTGTGGCAGGGCCCTGCAGCCCCCACCCCAGGGCATGGTGGGACATCCGGGGGGGCTCCAAAAAGCAATCGAAGCCCCCCCACCCCGGGTCCCCACACCTCTCCCCGTGTTCCCCAGAGGACGAACTCACATCCACAGTTCTCTGCCATCAGCGCCTGGGCCTGCTGCTCTCCCTGCCAGCCAGGAAGCTCGCAGGGGTCAAATGTCCACGTCACTCCAGCAGCCAGAACTCCACAACCCCCCTCCAAAATAAAAGTCCCCTTGTTCCTTGGAAAGGAACAGGATGTGGTGCTGAAGGGGAAGGCAGGGAAGAAAGGGAAAAGCCTGGAGTTGCTGGGCTGGGCGCCAAGAAATTGCCAGGCCTGGCAGAGGCAGGAGGAAGGGGAGGAGGGAAACCTCGAGAACTACATGGAGGGCTGCAATAAGAGTCAGGACCGTCAGGGAGCGTGGCCTGTGCCCAGGGGGCGTGGCCTGTGCTCAGTAGGGCGTGCCAGAGCTCAGGAGGGTGTGGCCTGGGCTGGGGAGGAAGTGAGGGACTCAGGAGGGCTTGGCCTGCGCTGGGGGGCGGAAGTGAGGAAGAATTCCATCCAGAAGCAGCATGGCTGCTTTATTGCCTCCGAGTCTGGGAAAGGACCCCAACGGCCAAAGCACAGCTGGAGCCCGGGGCCAAGGTGTGGAGTGCCCGCTCCGCCCACATCTGGGTTCCACCTCTCACATCTGGGTCTCAACCCCTCACATCTGGGTCCCAACCCTCACATCCGGGTCCAAACCCCTCACATCCGGGTCCTGGCGCCTGCCAGTGGACCTGGAGTTAAGTAACATCCTGGTACTCGCCTCCACATCTGGGTTCCCGTACCTGGAGATGCCTAACATCTGGGTACCGACCCCACATACGGGTTCACGGACCTGGAGGTCCCTAACATCTGGGTACTCACCCCACATCCAGGTTCATGGACCTGGAGGTCCCTAACATCTGGGTACTCACCCCACATCCAGGTTCATGGACCTGGAGGTCCCTAACATCTGGGTAGTTCCCATTCCACATCTTGGTCCTGGACCCTCAGTGGATGTGGAGGGACCTGACATCCGGGATCCCCACACCACATCTGGGTCCTAGACCCTGTCAGTGGAAGGAGAGGAGCATGACATCCGGGACTCCACACGCCACAGCCAGGCCTGTGGATGTGATATCCGGGTCCTGCCCAGCACATATCTGGGTCCCTGCCACAGTCCACATCCGGGTTAATGGACGCGGACTTACATAACATCCGGGTTCCCCATGCAACATCCGGGTCCTGGCCCCTCAGTGGACCTGGAGATAGGTGACATCCGGGTCCCCCAGTCCACATCCGGGTCCTGGCCCCTCAGTGGACCTGGAGATAAGTGACATCTGGGTCCCTGACGCCACATCCGGGAGAGTGGACACGGAGGAGGGTGACATCCGGGTCCCCCAGTCCACATCCGGGTCCTGGCCCTTCAGTGGACCTGGAGATAAGTGACATCCGGGTTCCCCAGGCCACATCTGGGTCAGTGGACACGAATGAGGGAGACATCCGGGTCCCTCCCAGTCCACATCCGTGTACTGGCCCCTCAGTGGACATGAAGGAAGGTGACATCCGGGTCCCTCCTAGTCCACATCCGGATCCTGACCCATCAGTGCATCTGGAGGAAAGTGACATCCGGTTTCTCCATGCCACATCCGGGTCAGTGGACATGGAAGAAAGTGACATCCGGGTCCCTTCTAGTCCACATCCGGGTCCTGGCCCCTCAGTGGACCCGGAGATAGGTGACATCCGGGTTTCTCCCAGTTCACATCTGGGTCCTGGCCCCTCAGTGGACCCAGAGATAGGTGACATCTGGGTCTTTCCCAGTCCACATCGGGGTCCCTCCCAGTCCACATCCGGGTCCTAGCCTCTCCGTGGCCTCTGGTCGGACTGCAGCTTCTGTACAGCACATGCAGGTTTGGAGCCCCACATCCAGTCATCTTCCGGCTGGGGCCCAGGAGTCTTGCTGGAGCCGGACATCCGGGTCTCACGCGCTTTCCCGGCAACCGAACCCAGCGGCCTAAAGGCAGGAATGAAGCCCCACATCCGGGTCTTCTCGGTCTGTTGCCTGGCAACCGAACACAGAGGCCTAGACGCTGCGGTGGAGCCCAATGTCCTGGTATCTTCACTTGGTTGCCCGGCAACCGAACGCCGCGGCCTACCGGCGGGAATGAAGCCCCACATCAGGGTCTCCTCAGTCCGTTGCCCTGCCATGGCACCCAGCGGCCTAGTGGCGGGAATGAAGCTGAACATCCGGGTCTCTGGCACACGGGGGTCGTGTCTGGGCGGCGCCCCGGGGTGGGCGTGGCAGATGTAGGCGCCGCGGTCGCGCTCGGAGGCGGCGCGCACCTCCAGGCTGCCGTCGGCGCCCAACGTGAAGCGGCCATGCCTCTGCGGCCCACGCAGCACCAGCCCCCCGGGCAGGCGCCAGGACACCGGAAGCGTGGAGGTGGGGCAGCGCAGCCGGAAGCTGCCGCCCAGCACCACACGCAGCGCCGCCCCCGGCGCCGCCCCAGGGGGTGGAGTCAGCGCCTCAAAGGGCAGAGTCGGTGCGTCAGGGGGTGCAGTCAGCGCCCAAGATGGCGGGGCAGGCGGGCCAGGGGGCGGAGCTGCCTCAGAGGGCGGAGCCAGCGCACCAGGGGGCGGAGTCAGCGCCCAAGATGGCGGGGCAGGTGCGTGATGGGGCGGAGCCGGCGCAACAGGAGGCGGAGTCAACGCCTCAGAGGGTGGAGCCGACGCCGCAGGGGGGAGAGCCCGCGCCCACCATGGCGGCAGCCGCACCCACATCCGGGCTTTGCCCGCTGGGTTGCGCGCCACGCACACCACGGCATCGCTGCCACCGCTGTGCAGCGCACGCACATCCGGGATTTCCAACGTCCCGCGCGCATCCACGCTGATCCCTCCCCCCGTGCGACTGCGATACGGGACTGGAAGTACCAGCCCACCCGGAAGTTCCCACAGCAGGCGGGGCTCGGGGACGCCATCCGCCTGGCAGCGCACGCGCAGACGCACCACGGGGGAGACCCGGATGTCGTCGTTCACGTCGTCATGGACGTAAGGCGTGACCCGGATGCGCGGCGCCCGCAGCTGCACGTGTAGGCGCACGGTGGCGCGCCAGCCCCGCCCCGCCACGCACGTGTACGTGCCTGCGTCGGCCCGCCGCACCCCGCGCAGGCGCAGACGCCCGTCCGGCAGCACCCGGAAGTGGGCGTCCTCCGGGCCGGAAGTGAAGGCCATGGGGCGCAAGGCCGGCGTCAGCCACGTCACCGCGCGCGACCCTCGCGTCACTGGGCACGTGAGGGTCACTGGGGCGCCGTAGGGGACGGAGAGCTCAGGGGGCAGCAGGGTGGAAGTGGGAGAGGAAGAGGAAGCCGGAAGTGAAGCAGGAAGTGAAGGGGAACCAGGAAGTGAAGAGTAACCAGGAAGTGAAGAGGAAGAGGAAACAGAAAATGAAGAGGAAGAAGGAAGAGGCTGAAAGGAAGAGGAAGAAGAGGAAGAAGGAAAGGAAGAGGAAGAAGAAACATGAGAGGAAGCAGGAAGAGATGGAGAAGAGGAAGAAGAAGGAAAGGAAGAGGAAGCAGGAAAAGAATGTGAAGAAGAGGAAGAAGGAAGAGACTGAGAAGAGGAAGAGGAAGGAAAGGAAGAGGAAGCAGGAAAAGAATGTGAAGAAGAGGAAGAGGAAGGAAAGGAAGAAGAGGAAGAAGGAAGAGACTGAGAAGAGGAAGAGGAAGGAAAGGAAGAAGAAGAAGAAGGAAGAGATTGAGAGGAAGAGAACAGGAAGGGATGAGAGGAAGAAGGAAAGGAAGAGGAAGAAGGAAAAGAAGAAGAGGAAGCAGAGGAAAAGGAAGAAGATGAAGGATGGTGAGAGGAAGAGGAAGGAAGAGATGGAGAGGAAGAGGAAGAAGGAAAGGAAGAGGAAACAGGAAATGAAGAGGAAGAGGAAGACGGAAGTGACTGAGAGGAAGAGGAAGAACCCGCCCCAGGCCCCGCCCCCCAGCTGTGGTCACACATCCGAGGTCTAACCCAGGCCCCAGGTCCCAGTTCCCCACACTCCCATCAGGCCTCGTGACCCGAACATCCGGGTCTCCCAGGACACCGGATGGGACCTGGAGGCGGTGGTAGGCAGTGCAGTCCTCCCTGGGGTCGGCGTCCTGGGTCACGGGGGTCACGGGGGTCACGGGAAGCCCGGGTTGCAGATAGGAGGCACCTGGCCCAGCCATCAACTCCACGCGCAGCCATGCATGCGCGTCGCCCGCCGCGTTGCGCGCCACGCACACGTACTCCCCCGCATCACGTGACGTCACCGGACGCACGGAGAGCGTGCCGTTGGAAAAGGCGCGGACCCGGATGTCAGAGCTGGGGAGGGGAGGGGAAGGGAGGGCAGGAAGGAAGGAAGGAAGGAAGGAAGGAAGGAAGGAAGGAAGGAAGGAAGGAAGGAAGGAAAGAAGGAGGGAAGGAGGGAAGGAAGGAGGGAAGGGTAAAGGAAGGATTGGAGGGAAGGAAGGAGAGAATGTAGGGAAGGAAGGAGGGAAGGAAGGATTGGAGGGAAGGATTGGAAGGATTGGACGGAAGGAAAGATGGAAGGATTGGAGGGAAGTAAGGAAGGATTGGAGGGAAGGAAGGAAGGAAGGATTGGAAGGAAGGAAGGAAGGATTGGAGGGAGGGAAGGAAGGAAGGATTGGAGGGAGGGAAGGAAGGATTGGAGGGAAGGAAGGATGGAAGGATTGGAGGGAAGGAACGAAGGATTGGAGGGAAGGAAGGATAGAAGGATTGGAGGGAAGGAGGGAATGTAGGGGAGGTTGGAGGGAAGGATTGGAAGGAAGGATTGGAGGGAAGGAAGGAAAGCTTGGAGGGAAGGAAGGAAGGATCGGAGGGAAGGAAGGAAGAAGGGAAGGAGGGAAGGAAGGAATAAGGGAAGGAAGGAAGAAGGGAAGGAAGAAAGGAGGGAAGGAAGGAAGGAAGGAGGGAAGGAAGTAATAGGAGGAAAGACCATAAGGAAGGGAAGACAAATTTGAAGCCAATGTTAGTTATTCGCACATGTGACATATGCATCCAATACTCATCTTGTATCGATCCCTGACCGATCATCTATCAATGATCGATCACTAGGGTTCTACCTTGCGATCTGGCAAGCCAGGACCTATCAATTACCTATTCACTGCTAATGGATCTACCATCCCCACCTCATCTCTATCAATATTTAATGGATAATCGATTTGTTATCTATGGTCTACTGTGTCTACATCATCTGTCTAATCCATCCTCTATCAATTAACTATCTATCAAGGGGTATCATCTTTATCCCAACTATGGGTGGATAGATGGATGGGTGGATGGATGGATGGATGGATGGGTGGATGGATGAGTGGATGGATGGGTGGATGGATGGATGGGTGGATGGATGGGTGGATGGATGGATGGGTGGATGGATGGGTAGATGGATGGATCGATGGGTGGATCGATGGATGGGTGGGTGGATGAATGGGTGGGTGGATGGATGAGTGGATGGGTGGACGGATGGAGGGATGGATGGATGGATGGGTGGATGGATGGATGAGTGGATGGGTGGATGGATGGATGGATGGAGGGATGGATGGATGGGTGGATGGGTGGGTAGATGGAGGGATGAATGGATGGGTGGATGGATGGATGGATGGGTGGATGGGTGGATGGATGGATGGGTAGATGAATGGATGGATGGGTGGGTGGATGGATGGGTGGGTGGGTGGATGGATGGATGGGTGGATGGATGGATGGGTGGATGGATGAGTGGATGGATGGATGTATGGATGGGTAGATGAACGGGTGAATGGATGGATGGATGCCCCCCACTTCCCACACTCACCTGCTCCCAGCATCCACCAGGCGCCCGTCTGGCAGCCTCCAGAACACGCGTGGGGCGGGATCCCCGCGCGCGTGGCAGTGCAGCGTGAGGTCAGCGCCGTGGGGCACGCGCATGGCGAGCGGGCCTCGGGGTCGGACGCTGGGGGGGAGACGCGCGGGCGCGGGCGTGACTTCGACGTGCACAGTGCGTCTCGCGCTGCTCAGCGCGTTGGCGGCCACGCACTCGTACTCACCGGCATGGCGCGGGGCCTGCAGGCGGCGCAGCACCAGCGTGCCATTGGGGAGGACGTAGACGTCACTGAGTCGAGGGTGCGTGTGCGCATGCACGGGTCTCGCGTGGGTCCCGTCAGGCAGACGCCAGTGCAGGGCCACAGGGGGCCAGGCCTGGGCTGTGCAGGGCAGGTGCAGGGTGAGGCCCGCGTGGGCCGACACGAACTCCGTGGGCGCCTCGCGCAGCACGGGGGGAGCGGGGGAGGCGTGCATGACATTTCCACGTGTGTCAGAGCCACGCATGCGCGCTTCATGTGTATCAGGTGAGTGTGGAAGGGATGTGATCGTGTCCCTTTCACGAGTGATACTTACACGTGTGACCATCGTGTGAGTTTCAGATCCACGCGTGACATTTCCAAGCGTGTCCATCGTGCCAGAGTCAGATCCACTCGTGTCCGTTCCACGCGTGTCGGGCGCCGCCGGGGTCAGCTCCACGCCTGGGGATGGACAGACGGACGGAGGGAGGGGCAGAGGGACAGGGCATTGGATAAGAGCCCCTGTGCTGGTCGGAGACAGTGCTCTGTCCCTCTGTCTGTCTGTCCGTCCGGCTGTCCATCTCCGTCCGTCTGTCTATCCATCTGTCTGTCAGTCTGTCTATGTCTGTCTGTCTGTCCCTCTGTCTGTCTGTCTCTGTCAGTCTGTCTGTTCATCTACTTGTCCGTCCATCTGTCCATCTGTCTGTCCGTCCGTTTCTCTGTCCATCTCTCTGTCTGTCTGTCTATCCATCTGTCTGTCAGTCTATGTCTGTCTGTCCCTCTGTCTGTCTGTCTCTGTCAGTCTGTCTGTTCGTCTGTCTACTTGTCCGTCCGTCAGTCCATCTGTCTGTCCATCCGTTTCTCTGTCCATCTGTCTGTCCCTCTGTCTCTCTGTCCCTCCGTCTGTCCATCTGTCTGTCCCTCTGTCTCTCTGTCTGTCCATCTGTCTATCCATCCATCAGTCCATCCGTCTATCTGTCCATGTGTCTGTGTCGCTCCGTCCACCCATGTATCTGTCTGTCCATTCATCTGTCCATCCATCTATCTACTGTCTTACTGTCTACCTATCTGTGTATCCTTCCTTCCGTCCATCTCTCTCTCTCTCTCTCTCTCTCTGTCTATGGCTCTGTTTGTCTATCTGTCCATTGCTCTGTCTATCTATGATTCTGTCTATTTGTCCACTGGTCCATCCATCTAGCTATCTGTCCATCTGTCTGTCCACCTGTCTCTCTATCTATCTGTCTGCCTGTCTGTCTGGTGTCTGTCTACCTATCTGTCTATACATCCATCGGTCCGTCCGTCTGTCTACCCACCCACCTGTCCATGTTATCTCTTTCAATCCATCCATCCATCCACCCGTCTGTCTATCCATCCATCTGTCCATCTGTCTCTCTGACTGTGTATACCTCTGTCTGTCTATCTGTCCATTGGTCCATCTATCCATCTGTTCATCTGTCCATCTGTTCGTCTCTCCATCCATTCTTCTGTCTATCTGTCTCTATGGCTCTGTCTATCCGTCCATTGGTCTGTCTGTCTGTCTGTCTATCTGTCTGTCTGTCTGTCTGTCTGTCTGTCTACCTATCCATCCATCCAACCATGTATGTTTCTATCTGTCTGTCTGTCTATCCGTCCATCTGTCCATGTATCTCTCTGTCTGTCTGTCTGTCTGTCTCTCTATGGCTCTGTCTGTCCATCCTTCCATTGGTCGGTCTGTCTGTCTGTCTCTTTCTATCTATCTGTCCATGTCTCTGGTGTCTGTCTGTCTACGGCTCTGTCTATCATCCATCAGTCTATCTGTCTGTTTATCCGTCCATCAGTCCATGTATCTCTCTGTCTGTCTGTCTCTCTATGGCTCTGTCTATCTGTCCATTGGTTTATCTGTCTGTCTGTCTACCTATCTATCTGTCCATCTGTCCTTCTATCTATCTACTATCTGTCTACCTGTCTATCCGTCCTTCTGTCCGTCCATCTGTCTACCTGTCTCTGTATCCATCTGTCTGTCTGGTGTCTGTCTACCTATCTGTCTATACATCCATCAGTCTGTCTGTCTGTCTACCCATCCATCTGTCCATCTATCTCTTTGTCTATGGCTCTGTCTGTCTATCTGTCCATTGGTCTGTCTATCTATCCATCCAGCTGTCTGTCTGTCTACCTATCTATCCATCCATCCAACCATGTATGTTTCCATGTCTGTCTGTCTCTCCATTCATCTGTCCATGTATCTCTCTGTCTGTCTGTCTATGGCTCTGTCTATCCGTCCATTTGTTTATCTATCTATCTATCAGTCTATCTGTCTGTCTATCTATCTGTCCATCTGTCTGTCTACTGTCTGTCTACCTGTCTATCCGTCCTTCTGTCCATCTGTCTGTCTGTCTCTCTATGGCTCTGTCTATCCGTCCATTCATCCGTCTATCCACCTATCTGTCTGTCTGTCTGTCTATCCATCCGTCCCTCTATCTGTCTGCTCTATGTCTGTCTGTCTGTCTGTCTGTGCGTGTGTGTTTGTCTCCCCAGTCATCCTGTGCCCCACACAGCCAGGAACACAGACAACAGACAGACAGACAGAGTAAAGGACTTCGCCCCTCCCCTCCCCATGCCCTCTGACCTGTCCATGCCCTCTGCCCTCCCAGTGACCCGACCTCCCTGTGACCTCTCCATGACCTCTGACTACTCTGTGACCTCTGACCTCCTGTGACTCCTGGCTTCCCCATGACCTCTGACCTCCCAGTGACCCTCCCGAGACCTCCCCGTGAACTCTCCATGACCCCTGAGTTCCCCATGACCTTTGACCTCCCATCCACTTCTCACCTGCCCATGGCCTCTCACCTCCCCGTGACCTCTCCATGACCTCTGACCTCTCTGCAACCGCTGACCCTACTGTGACCCCTGGCTTCCTTGTGACCTCTGACCCCCCGTGACCCCTAACCTCCCCGTGACCTCTGACCGTATTGTATCCTCCCTGTGACCTCTTACCTCCACCTCCTATCTGGCTCCCCTCAGTCCCCCGCCCCCACGCCAAGAGCCTGCAGGAGACAGATGGGTAAACTGAGGCTCACCCGTGTCCAGCTCATTCCAGACGCCACGGGGCGGGGTCACGGCGGGCGGGGCCGGGGGTCGCGGGTCAAAGGTCCCCGGGTCACCATCGGGGGAAGCCGCAGGATGGGAAGGGAGGACATCCGGGGCACGGCCATGCAGGGTCGTGACCACGGGGTCAAGGGGTTCACCGTGGGGCCCGGCCGGGCACGGTGAGCTTTGTGCTGTCGCCCCTGCCTGCGGCCGCTGCCAGGCCTCCTGGGAGCCGGAAGTAAGGAGGCCGGAAGTGAGGAGGACGGAAGTGCAGAGGTCGGAGCAGTGGATGCTCGAGGGGTGGAGGCCGGAAGTGGGGATGTCTGTGTCGAAACCGGAAGTGGAGAGGTCCATGGGGAGACCGGAAGTGTGGAAGTCAGAAGTGGGGATCTCCGAGTGGTAACCGGAAGTGGGGTGGTCTGACTGGAGACCGGAAGTGGGGAGGTCTGTGGGGAAACCGGAGGTGTGGAAGTCGGAAGTGGGGATCTCTCAGTCAAAAACGGAAGTGGGTAGGCCGAAGCAGTGGAGGCCGGAAGTGGGGATTTCTGAGTGGAAACCGGAAGTGGGGAAACAGGAAGTGGGGTGGTCCGAATGGAGACCGGAAGTGGGGATCTCCGCGTGGAGACCGGAAGTGTAGATCTGCGAGTGGAGCCCAGAAGTGGGGATGTTCGAGACAAAACCGGAAGTGTGGAAGCCGGAAGTGGGGTGGTCCCAGTGGAGACCGGAAGTAGGAATTTTCGAGTGGAAACTGGAAGTGTGGAAGCAGGAAGTGCGGGGGTCCGAGTGGAGACTGGAAGTGAGGAGGTCCGTGGGGAGAGCGGAAGTGGGTAGGCGGAAGTAGTGAAGACAGGAAGTGGTGATGTTCAAGTGGAAACCGGCAGTGTGGAGACCAGAAATGGGGTGGTCTGAGTGGAGACCGGAAGTGGTGAGGTCCGAGTGGAGACCAGAAGTGGGTCGGCGGAAGACACAGAGACCGGAAGTGGGGATATTTGTGTCGAAACCGGAAGTGTGGACGCCGGAAGCGGGGAGGTCTCCGTGGAGACCGGAAGCAGGGCGGGCGGGGCCCGGAAGTCGCCTGTGGCACGGCCGCGAACGTGCGCCAGGATGCGCGCCCAGTGCTCGGGCCGGATGTGCTCGGCAGCCACTGTTGGGCGCGGGCGGCGTGGCAAGGCAGGCTCGAACCCGCGGCCGGCGGGGGCAGCACGCGGGATGGGAGGGAGATGAGGAGGCGGCGGACGCAGCTGCTGCCCGCGCCCGGGGCCGCCCGCAGGACGCCGACGCCACAGCCACGCTTCCCCGGTGCCCGGGCCCAAGCTTGGCACACCAACAATGACGTCAGCACCGCGCGTCGCCCCCGCAGCCGCTTCCGCAGCGGCACCCGCCATCTTGGAATCCGCCATTTTTGAATCAGCCATCTTGGAATCTGCCATCTTAATTCCCTCCATCTTGGATTCCTCCATCTTGGATTCCGCCATGTTGGTTCCCTCCATCTTTGATTCCACCACCTTGTTTTCGGCCATCTTTATTCCTTCCATCTTGTTTTCCGCCATCTTGATTCCTTCCATCTTGGATTCTGCCATGTTGCTTTCCCTGATCTTGTTTCCCTCCATTTTGGATTCCGCCATCTTGGCGTCCACCATATTGGAATCCGCCATGTTGGTGTCGGCCATGTTGGATTCCACCATGTTTTCGGCCATCTTGGTTCCCTCCATCTTGGATTCCTCCATCTTGTTTCTCCCCATGTTTGATTCCGCCATCTTGGCATCTGCCATCTTCGTTTCGTCCATCTTGGCTTCCGCCATTTTGTTTCCTTCCATCTTGGATTCCGCCATCTTGGTTCCCTCTATCTTGGTGTCCACCATCTTGTTTTTGGCCATCTTGGAATCCGCCATGTTGGCGTCGGGCATGTTAGATTCCGTCATGTTTTCGGCCATCTTGCTTCCCTCCATTTTGGATTCCACCATCTTGGTGTCCACCATCTTGGAATCCACCATCTTAATTCCCTCCATCTTGTTTTCCACCATCTTGTTGCCTTTCGTCTTTGATTCTGCCATCTTGTTTTTGGCCATCTTGCTTTCCGCCATCTTGGATTCTTCCATCTTTGATTCCGCCATCTTGTCTCCCGCCATCTTGCCCCCCGCCGCCCCACCCACGCTGACGTCGGCGTCCCAGCGCGCCAGCCCCAGCGCGTTGGCGGCCACGCACACATAGCGCCCGGCGTGCCGTGGGCCCAGCGTGGGAAGCGTCAGCGTCCCGTCCGCCCCGACCCCGACCCCGTCCGTCCCCAGCTCCGTCCCCGCCCAGGCCCAGCGCCCGCCCGGCAGCAGCCAGCCCACGCGCGCCGCCGGCTCCGCCTCCGCCCGACAGCCCAGCCGCAGCGCGACGCCCGCAGGCAGTTCCAGATCCGTGGCCGCTGGCGCCCGAGACGCCACCACGAACACGCGCTGTGCCCGGCCCGCCATGGCGGACTCAAAGCCACCGTAGGCCGCAGGGCCCGGGGCTGCAGACGGGGTGTAGGCCGCAGGGGCTGTGGCTTCAGAAGGGGCGGAGGCCGTGGTGGCTGTGGCTTCAAAGCTGGTGTAGGCCGCGGGGCCCGTGGCTTCAGACAGGGTGTAGGCTGCGGGGCTTGTGGCTTTCTCCTCAGTGTCAGCCTCAGATCCTATGGCTTTTTCCTCAGCAAAGGCCTCGGATTCTATGGCTTTATTTGCACCATAGGCCTCGGATTCTATGGCTTCATTCACAGCGTAGGCTTTTTCTTCACCATAGGTCTCAGATTTCGTGGCTTTTTCCTCAGTGTAGGCCTCGGATCTCATGGCTTCATCTGAGCCATAGGCACTGGATCCTTTGGCTTTCTCCTCAGTGTAGGCCTCAGATCCTGTGGCTTCATTCACACCATAGGCCTCGGATTCCATGGCTTCCTCCTCCGCGTAGGCCCCGGACCCCGTGGCTCCGTCCCCGCCATAGGCCACGCGCCGTGCCTTGGTTTCCCCGCAGCGCCCCACGCGGGCCTCGCAGCGGTACCAGCCAGCGTCGGCCTGGCGCATCCTGTGGATCTCCAGTGTTGTCCCCCCATCATGGCCGCCATCCTCATCGCCCCGCAGGATGGAGCCGTCGGGCCGTGTCCAGGCCATGTGTGGTGTTTCCGAGCCCTGCACCGCACAGCGCAGCCGCAGCGTCTGCCCCGGGGTCACCACGTGCACGTCATCAGGGTCATCACGGGGGTCGAGGGTCACCCAGGGTGCGTCCTCCGGGTCCTCGGGGCCACGCACGCACGCCGTCCACGTCAGACGCATGCGTGGCCCACGCAGCCCAGCCCAGCGCAGCGTCAGCTCAGGCTGCAGCAGCCAGGCAGGCCGCGCCCACAGCCGGGCCACCACACCTGGAAGTGACGTCGGCGACGATGACGACGCGCCAGGGCCGTGCACCAGGCGGTAGGCCTTGCCCACATCCAGGTCATGGACATCCGGGAAACTGGCCTCAGGGTGGGCGTGGCCTCCATCCTGGTCATACCTGGGGCCTACATCCGGGTCTCTGTCCTCAGAGTGGGCGGGGCCCTCATCTGGGTCATTGACATCAGGGTCTCTGTCCTCAGGGTGGGCAGGGCCCTCATCCATGTCATGGACATCCAGGTCTCTAGCCTCAGGGTGGGCGTGGCCTCCATCCTGGTCTCTGTCCTCAGGGTGGGCGGGGCCCTCATCTGGGTCATTGATATCCGGGTCTCTGTCCTGAGGGTGGGCGGGGCCTACGTCCTGATCATACTCATGGCCTACATCCGGGTGTCTGGCATGCTTGTAGGCGGGGCCTACATCCGGGTGTCTGTCCTGCTGGTGGGAGGGGCCTACATCCGGGTCTTGGGCTTGATACATATAGCCTACATCCGGGTATTTGTCCTGCAGATGGGTGTGGCCTACAACCGGGTCTCTGTCCTGAGCGTGGGCAGGGCCTACATCAGGGTCTCTGGCTCCCTGGTGGACATGGCCTATATCAGGGTTCCTGGTTCGATGGTGGGCATGGCCTACATCCGAGTCTGTGGCCTGATACATATGGTCCACATCCGGGTCTCCGCCCTGACGGTGGGCGTGGCCTACATCCGGGTCCCTGTCCTGATACAGCTCATCCCCATCAGCGTCTCCGCCCGAGGGTTGGGCGTGGCCTTCCCCCGGAAACATCTCCCGGGTCCCTATCTGCGTGGGCGTGGCCCGGCGCCTCCGGGTCCCAGCGCAGCATCAGCGCGACATCATCAGTGTCGTCATCGCCTCCCAGCAGGCGGCGGGCATGTGCGAGGTGGGCAGGGTCGGCTTAGCAGGCGAGGGCGGCGCTGAGCGTCAGGCGCACGCGCACAGGGACATCGGGGGCGGGGCCGGGCCGCACGTCGAAGTCGCGCACGCTGGGCGCGCGCCGCAGGCGGCAGGTAAGGCCGGCGGCGCGGCCACGGGCGTCTGTCAGCCTCAGCCGCACCTCGCCCACCTCCTCCCTGTCCTCCACTTCCTCTTCCTCCGCCTCCACTTCCGCTTCCAGCGGCTCCTCGCCGTCTGCCGGGCTGGTGAGGATGCGCGGCGGGCGACAACGCATGCGTGGAGGCAGGCGACGCAGGTGCAAGCCGCGGCGGGCGGCGGGGCTGGCGCAGGCCGCGCACGCCTGTTCCTTCCCACAGCGCAGCACGCCTGCAGGGGGGGATGGGAGAAGGGCGGGGCTGACATGGGACACGCCCCCCTGGGGAGCCTCGGCCACGCTCCCGTCGCGCCTGACTGGCTGGAGCTCGGCCACGCCCCTCCTGGGGGTTCTCAGCCACGCCCCCGCCTCGCCTGACTGGCTGGACCTCGGCCACGCCCCCCCGTGGAGCCTTAGCCATACCCTCACCCTGCCTGAGTGGCTAAAGCTGGGCCATACCCTCCCTGTGGAGCCTCAGCAACGTCCCTGCCCCTCCTAAGTGGCTAGACCTTGGCCACGCCCCCTGCAGCTCCTCACTAATGCCCAGCCACGCCCAGCCACGCTGCTGCCGTTTTTTACTGGCTGGAGCTAGGCCACGCCCCCCTGGGCGCCTCGGCCATGCCTCCGCCCCGCGTGACTGGGGGAACTCGGCTACTCACTTACGCCCAGCCATGCCCCCATCCTTTCTCACTGGCTGTAGTTCGGCCACGCCCCCTCTCTGCATCGCCTCAGCCCCGCCCGGCCCTCTCATTGGCCTGCGCTTGACCACGCCCCCTCTGCTCACCTCGGCCCCGCCCCTCCAGGTCCTCCATCCAGCGCGCACGGCAACCGCAGGCCCAGGGGTTACCCTGCAGGTGCAGCGCGCGCAGCGCGGGTGCCTGGGCCAGGGTGCCGGCGGGCAGCGCAGCCAGGTGGTTCCCAGCCAGGTGCAGCACGCGCAGCGTGCAGGCCGGGACCCCGCGCACGCGCAGCGTGGCCAACGCCTCGGGCGCCAGCGCCGCCAGCTGGTTCCCGTCCAGACGCAGCAGCCGCAGCGACGCCAGCCCCAGCAGTGCCCGCGGGGGCACCGACTCCAGCCGGTTGTGGTCCAGGTACAGCCGGGACAGGCGCCGCAGGCCCCGCAGGGAGCCCGTGCGCAGTGCCCGAAGCTGGTTGTAGCTCAGCTTCAGCACCTGTGGGGGTGAAAGGGGGCGTTTCCGGGATCCGAAGGGCAACTTCGGGGTCACTTCTGCCCCACTTCCGGTCTCACTTCCACCCTACTTCCGTACCACTTCCTGTCACACTTCTGCTCCACGTCCGGCTTACTTCTCCCGACTTCTGCCTCTACTTCCTCCCACTTCCGAGTATATTTCCTCACTTCTTCCGGTCCCACTTCTGCCCCATTCTCACTTCCTCCCTACTTCCAACTCACTTCCGCCCCAGTTCCGGGTCACTTCCTCCCCACTTCCGGCTGACTTCCGCCTCTACTTCCTCCAAGTTCCTCCGCACTTCCGGCCAGTTACGGCCCTACTTTCTGTCACTTCCAGATCCAGATCCTCACCACTTCTGCCCCACTTCCGGCTCACTTCCGCCTCACTTCAGCCCCGACTTCCTCCCACTTCCTGCCCATTTCCTTCCTTATTTCTGCCCCACTTCCGGTCCTACCCATGGTCCTATTTCCACTTTCTTCCCCACTTCCAACTATATGTCATTCCCCACTTCTGGGTCACTTCTACCCCCACTTCCTCCCCACTTCCTTCCCTATTTTCACTCCACTTCCGGATCCATATCCTCACCACTTCTGCCCCACTTCCGCCTTCCGCCCCTACTTCATCCTGCTTCCTCCCCACTTCCTTCCCTATTTCCACCCCACTTCTCACTTCCGGAACCATATCCTAACCACTTCCGCCCCTAGTTCCTCCCACTTCCGGCTTATTTTCACCCCTACTTCCTCACACTTCCTCCCTACTTCCCGATTTCCACCCCACTTCCGGCCCTACTTCCACTTCCAGATCCATATCCTCACTACTTCCGACCCACTTCCGCTCCACTTCCTTCCCTATTTCCACTCAACATCTGGCTACACTTCCAGCCCTACTTCTTCCCAGGTCCTTATCCATTTCCGTCTCACTTCCGCCTCCCTTCTGCCCCCGACTTCCTCCCATGTCCGTCTCTACTTCCTCCATTGATTCCCTACTTCCTCCCCACTTCCTTTGCTATTTGATCCCCATTTCTGCCTGTCTTCCTCCGCATTTTCCCCCTCCTTCCTCCCTACTCTTTTCCCACTTCCTTCTTCCTCCAACTTCCTTCCCACTTCCAGCCCTACTTCCTCCCACTTCCGTATCTATTTCCTCAAACTTCTGCCCCACTTCCTCCCCTACTTTGTCCCACTTCACTGCATATTTCTGCCCCACTTCCTACCAAACTTCCTTCCACTTCCTTCCAATTCCGCCCCACTTCCGCCCGCTCCCTGCGCACCTGCAGTGCGCCCAGGTCGCTCAGGGCGCCCTCGGCGATGTCCGCGATCTCGTTTCCGTGCAGCAGCAGCAGCTGAAGTCTCGCAAGACCGGGGAAGGAAGCGTGCGTCAGGACCCGGATGTGGTTGAACCTAATTCAACAGGCGAGAGGACAGGAAGAGGAAATCAGGAAAACAGCCTGAAAACCAGCGCTGGGAGGGCAGGACTTTTGTTTCCGGGTCAGGGTCAAGAATAATGAATCATTACTCATCATCATCTTCCTTCCTGCCTTCCTTCCTTTCCTCCCTTGCTTCCTTCCTTCCTTCCCTCCCTCCTTCCTTCCTTCCCTCCCTCCTTCCCTCCTTCCTTCCTTCCCTCTTTCCTTCCCTCCTTCCTTCCTTCCTTCCTTCTCTACCTCCTTCCTTCCTTCCATCCTTCCCTCCTTCCTTCCTTCCTTCCCTCCCTCCCTCCTTCCTTCCCTCCTTCCTTCCTTCTTTCCTTCCCTCCTTCCTTCCTTCCTTCCATCCTTCCTTCCTTCCCTCCATCCTCCTTCCTTCCCTCCTTCCCTCCTTCCTTCCCTCCTTCCTTCCCTCCTTCCTTCCTTCCTTCCTTCTTTCCTTCCTTCCTTACTCTTCCTTCCCTTCCTTCCCCCCTTTCCCCTCCCCAGGCCTCACCCCAGGTTCACGCGCTCCATCTTGGGGTCCAGCATGTGGGGCACGGCCCTGAGGCTGCGGAAGGTGCAGTGGAGTTCGGTGGGGACGTAGCAGGCGCAGGTCCTGGGGCAGCGGGTGGCGGGGGCTGGGTGGGGGCCGCACAGGAGCAGCAGCAGCAGCAGCAGCGAGGCCCAGCGGTGGGGGCCCCCCATCCTGGGGCTGGGATGGAAGGGGGGAGGCTGGGGATGGAGGCCCAGGGGTGGAGGCCCAGGGAAATGGAGGCTGGAAGTTGGAGGCCCAGGGAAGGAGGCCTAGGGATTAGAGGCCAGGGTGGAGGCTGGGGATGGAGGTCCAACGGGGTGGAGGCCAGGGGTGGAGGCTGAGGAAGGAGACTGGAAGTTGGAGGCCCAGGGGGTGGAGGCCCAGGGATGGAGGCCTAGGGGAAGTGGAGGCCCAGGGATGGGGGCCTAGGGGTTAGAGGCCAGGTATGGAGGCTGGGGATGGAGGTCCAGGAAGGTGGAGGACAGAGGTAGAGGCTGAGGATGGAGACAGGAAGTTGGAGGCCAGAGAAGGAGGCCCAGGGATGGAGGCCTAATTGGGTGGAGGCTGGGGATGGAGACTGGAAGTTGGAGGCCCAGGGAAGGAGGCCCAAGAGGGTGGAGGCTAGGGACAGGGGCCCAGGGGGGGTAGAGGAAAGTAGGCCAAATGGGGTGGAGGCTGGGGATGGAGGCCAGGAGTGGAGGCCCAAGGGGGTGGAGGCCCAAGGATGGAGGCCAGGGATGGAGGCTGGAAGTTGGAGGCCCGGGGATGGAGGTTCAAGGATGTGAGGCGACCTGTGGGGGTCAGGGAGACAATGGGGAGGAAGAGGAAGGAGAATGGGAAGAGGAAGGAGATGTATCAGAAGAACAGGAAGAGGAAGAAGGACATGGACACGAGGAAGAGGAAGGGGAAGAGGAAGAGGAGATGGAAGAGGAAGAGGAGATGGAAGAGGAGATGGAAGAGGAAGAGGAGATGGAAGAGGAGACCGAAGAGGAGATAGAAGAGGAGACGGAAGAGGAGACAGAAGAGGAGATGGAAAAGGAAGAGGAGACGGGAGATGGAAGAGGAGATAGAAGAGGAAGAGGAGATGGAAGAGGAGACGGAAGAGGAAGAGGAGAGGAAGAGGAGATGGAAGAAGAAGAGGAGATGGAAGAGGAGACGGAAGAGGAGACGGAAGAGGAGACGGAAGAGGAGACAGAAGAGGAGATGGAAGAGGAGACGGGAGAGGAAGAGGAGACGGAAGAGGAGACGGAAGAGGAGATGGAAGAGGAGACGGAAGAGGAGACAGAAGAGGAGATGGAAGAGGAGACGGAAGAGGAGACGGTAGAGGAGATGGAAGAGGAGACGGGAGAGGAAGAGGAGATGGAAGAGGAGATGGAAGAGGAGACGGAAGAGGAGATGGAAGAGGAGACGGAAGAGGAAAAGGAGGAGGAGACGGAAGAGGAGATGGAAGAGGAAAAGGAGATGGAAGAGAAGATGGAAGAGAAGATGGAAGACGAGACAGAAGAGGAAGAGGAGACAGAAGAGGAGATGGAAGAGGAGATGGAAGAGGAAGAGGAGACGGAAGGGGAGATGGAAGAGGAGACGGAAGAGGAGATGGAAGAGGAGATGGAAGAGGAAAAGGAGATGGAAGAGGAAGAGGAGACAGAAGGGGAGACGGAAGAGGAAGAGGAGACGGAAGAGGAAGAGGAGATGGAAGAGGAAGAGGAGATGGAAGAGGAAGAAGAGAGGAAGAGGAGATGGAAGAGGAGATGGAAGAGGAAGAAGAGAGGAAGAGGAGATGGAAGAGGAGACGGAAGAGGAAGAGGAGAGGAAGAGGAGATGGAAGAGGAAGAGGAGATGGAAGAGGAGACGGAAGAGGAAGAGGAGAGGAAGAGGAGATGGAAGAAGAAGAGGAGATGGAAGAGGAGACGGAAGAGGAGACGGAAGAGGAGACGGAAGAGGAGACAGAAGAGGAGATGGAAGAGGAGATGGGAGAGGAAGAGGAGACGGAAGAGGAGACGGAAGAGGAGATGGAAGAGGAGACGGAAGAGGAGACAGAAGAGGAGATGGAAGAGGAGACGGAAGAGGAGACGGTAGAGGAGATGGAAGAGGAGACAGGAGAGGAAGAGGAGATGGAAGAGGAGATGGAAGAGGAGACGGAAGAGGAGATGGAAGAGGAGACGGAAGAGGAGACAGAAGAGGAGACGGAAGAGGAGATGGAAGAGGAAAAGGAGATGGAAGAGGAGATGGAAGAGAAGATGGAAGAGAAGATGGAAGACGAGACAGAAGAGGAAGAGGAGACAGAAGAGGAGATGGAAGAGGAGATGGAAGAGGAAGAGGAGACGGAAGGGGAGATGGAAGAGGAGATGGAAGAGGAAGAGGAGACGGAAGGGGAGATGGAAGAGGAGAGGGAAGAGGAGATGGAAGAGGAAAAGGAGATGGAAGAGGAAGAGGAGACAGAAGGGGAGACGGAAGAGGAAGAGGAGACGGAAGAGGAAGAGGAGATGGAAGAGGAAGAGGAGATGGAAGAGGAAGAAGAGAGGAAGAGGAGATGGAAGAGGAGATGGAAGAGGAAGAAGAGAGGAAGAGGAGATGGAAGAGGAGACGGAAGAGGAAGAGGAGAGGAAGAGGAGATGGAAGAGGAAGAGGAGATGGAAGAGGAGACGGAAGAGGAAGAGGAGAGGAAGAGGAGATGGAAGAGGAAAAGGAGATGGAAGAGGAGACCTAAGAGGAAGAGGAGATGGAAGAGGAAGAGGAGACAGAAGAGAAGATGGAAGAGGAGACGGAAGAGGAAGAGAAGAGGGAAGAGGAGACGGAAGAGGAGATGGAAGAGGAAGAGGAAATGGAAGAAGAAGAGGAGATGGAAGAGAAGATGGAAGAGGAGATGGAAGAGGAGGAGGAGACAGAAGAGGAAGAAGGAAAACACCAACTAACAGGAATACGATCAGGAAGTCTAGAGACACAAGGAAAAAGAGACCGGGAAGGCCTGCTCTGTCTGTCTCTGTCCATCTGTCTCTCCTTGTCTATCTCTCTGTCTTTAGCTTTCTGTCTGTCTTTGTCTGTGTCTGTCTGTCTCCCTGTCTGTCTGTCTCTGTGTTGACATCTGTCTGTCTGTCTCTTATCTGTCTGTCTGTCTGCCTCTCTCTCTCTGTCTGTTATCTGTCCATTGGTCTCATGTCTGTCTGTCTGGTCTGTCTCTCCCTGTCTGTCTCTGTGTCTGTCTGTCTGTGTCTGTCTCTTATGTCTGTCTCCTTCTGTCTGTCTCTTATCTCTGTCTGTCTGTATCTGTCTGTCTGTGTCCCTGTCTGTCTGTCTGTGTCTCTGTTTCTGTGTCTGTCTGTCTGTCTCTCTTATCTCTGTCTGTCTGTCTGTTCTGTCTGTGTTGACATCTGCCTGTCTCTGTCTGTCCGTCTACCTCTGTCAGTCTCTCCCTGTCTCTGTGTCTCTGTCTGTCTGTCTCTGTCTGTGTCTCTCTGTCTCTGTCTGTTATCTGTCCATTGGTCTCATGTCTCTCTGTCTGTCTGTTCTGTCTCTCCCTGTCTGTCTCTGTGTCTCCATCTGTCTGTACATCTCCGTCTGTCTGTCTGGGTCTCTCTATCTCTGTCTCTTGTCTGTCCATCGATCTTGTCTATCTGTCTGTTCCATCACTGTCTGTGTTGACGTCTGTCTATCTGTTATCTCTGTCTCTCCCTGTGTCTGTCTACCAGTCTCATGTCTGTCTGACTCTGTCCATCTGTCTCTTGTCTCTGTCTCTGTCCGACTCTCTTCCTGTCCGTCTGTGTGTGTACATCTGTCTGTCTGGATCTCTTCTGTCTCAGTCTGTCTCTGTATGTCTTTTGTTTGTCTGTCCATCTGTCTCTGTCTGTCTGTCTTGGTGTCTCTTCTGTCTCAGTCTGTCTGTCCCCGTCTGTCTTCCTGTCTCTGTCCGTCTGTCTGTGTCTCTTCCTGTCTGTCTCTCCGTGTCTGTCCATCTCCCTTCCTGCCTGTCTCTGTGTCTGTCTGTCCATCTGTCTCCTCTGTCTGCCCATCTGTCTGTCTATGCCTGCGTCTGTCTGTCTGAGTCTGTTTCTTCTCTGTCTCTGTGTCTACATGTCTGTCTCTTCTGTCTGTCTGTCTGTCCCTGTCTCTGTCTGTCTGTCCCTGTGTCCGTCTGTCTCTCCCTGTCACTGTCTCTACATCTGTCTGTGTCCTCTGTCTGTCTGTCTGTCTCTGTCTTCCTGGCTCCATCTGTCTGTCTCTTTCCATCTGTCACTTGTCTTTGTGTCTGTCTGTCTGTCTCATCTTTGTCTGTCTGTCTCTGTGCATCTGTCTCTCCCTGTCTGTCTCTGTGTGTACATCTGTCTGTCTGTCCCTGTCTGTCTCTTCTGTCTCTTCTCTTTGTCTGTCTGTCTCTCTGTGTCTGTCTGTGCCGGTTTCTCTCACGTCCATCTCTGTCTGTCTGTGCCTGTGTCCGTCCTTCTCTTCCTGTCTCTGTGTCTATGTCTGTCTATCTGTCCTGGCTGAGTTTGTCTGTCTGTGACTGTGTCTGTCTGTCTTTGTCTCTTCTGTCTCTGTCCATCTGTCTCTTGTCTCTATGTCTGTCTGTCTATGCCTGTGTCTGTCTCTATCCATTTCTCTTCCTGTGTGTCTCTGTGTGTACATCTGTCTGTCTGTCTGTGTGGGTCTCTTCTGTCTCAGTCTGTGTCTGTCTGTCTGTCTCTGTGTCTACATCTGTGTCCTCTGTCTGTCTGTCTGTCTGTCTGTTTCTGTCTGTCTCTGTCTTCCTGGATCGTCTGTCTGTCTCTTCTGCCTCTCTCCATCTGTCACTGTGTCTGTCTCTGTCTCATGTCTGTCTCTGTGTTGACGACTGTCTGTCTGTCTGTATCTGACTCTTCTGTCGGTCTGTCTGCCCCTGTGTCTATCTGTTCTGTGTCTGTACATCTGTCTCTCTGTCTCTGTGTCTGCCTGTGTCTGTCTGTCTCCCTGTCTGTCTGTCTCTTATCTCTGTCTGTCTGTTTCTGTTCTGTCTCTGTCTGTCTCTTGTGTCTGTCTGTCTATTCTGTCTCTGTCTCTTCCTGTCTGTCTGTCCGTCTACCTCTGTCGGTCTCTCCCTGTCTCCATCTGTCTGTCTGTTCTGTCTGTCCGTCTATCTCTCCCT